CAGGCCCGATGAAGCTGCCTAATAGCTGCACGCCGTCTTTTGAGAACGGCACTCCTGGAGGTAGGTGGGGCGCTTGTACTGTACTCGAGCTCCATGCGGCACATTTCTGGGGGTTGTGTTCGAGCCCCAGAGGTGACAATTTGCTGGTGAAGTGGTTGAAAGCTGCTACAGTGTCTTCTGCTTCCCCGATGAACGTCACGTCGTCCGCATACGCCAAACAAAGCACACCAGGGTGTGTGTCTGCAGTGTCGCGGAGTGTTGCGTGCATCCCTGCCGCGAACAGTAGCGGGCCGAGTGGGTCCCCCTGGCGAACACCACGTTCACTTCGGAGTGGTTCATACGCGAAATTTGCATCCAGGAGCAGCTGCGACGGGTTACCGTATGTTAATTTGACGAGCGGCAGGAGTGGCGAGAGGGCGGGGGTCTGTAACGCGGTGGCGATGGCTTTTCGCGAGATGGTGTTGAACGCGTTCCTGATGTCGGCTTGCAGCACGAGGCTAGCGGGGCGGGCGTCCAGGAAAGCCCTGGCCGCGTGGATTATTGTCTCGGCGCCACCTGGCACTGCCACGCCGTACTGTAGTGGGAGAAAGAAGTCGCGGGCAGCGTCGCCCATAGCTGACAGGGCTGCTTTGGCTGCCAGCCTCGTCAAACATTCACCGATCGCGAATGGCCGAGCCCCGCCTCCAGGTTTGGCCAAGGCGATGAGGCGCGACGCGGTCAACAAATTTGCCACCGAGTCGGGCAAATTTCCGCCCAAGATGGTGTTAACGAGGGCGTGCAGATGGGTGCTGACCAGTGCATTTGTGACCGCCGAGTCGCGCAAATGTTCAAATGTCATCCCCGACGGCCCTGCCCCCACTCCATTGTCGCATCTGCCCAACATCTTAGCGAAATCCGCGTGGGCGATTGAAAGCTTTGACCCCTCCGGAGGCGTCGGCCAGATCACCTCCTCATCAGCAGCATGTGGGTGCTTCTGGCGCAGCTCCTCCAGAATTTCGGGGCAGGGCGTGCAGACTGGCGTTGACTCCAGGGCAAGGACGGCTCGTCGTAGACTGCCACGTTTCGCCAGGCCCTCGGCTCGTTTGATTACCCCGGTCGCGTCAGGCCTGTGCCGAGGCGGAGGTGGCGTGTTGACTGCCGCTAGCGTGTCCCGGTACAGTTGATCCCATTCGCCACGCTGGAAAGCTCGGAGCCGGGCTTTGATTTTTGGCCAGTCCGGTCGTTGCGGCGAGGTTTGGCGAAGAGTCAGGCGCGGGAGAAACAACAGCAGCCGCCAACCTGTCTCTGACTCTGGGTTTCGTGAGAGGTGCAGTAACGGCGTCAGTAACACCAGCGAGAACAGCTGACATAGATTTGGCGGTAAACGCCGTGACAGCGAAGGCTGACGACTGTCGCACAAAGCCGCGATGTCCCAATTTCCGATTGCAACGAACTGGTCTGTTCGCTTCGCCAGTTCTTCTGGTGAGAAATAGCGGGGAGTCGGAGCGGCCGGTCGCGTCGCAGCACCCCTACTCGCGGCCCGATTTCGTCGAGCACGGCCCAGTCCCGCAGGCGAGGCAGATGTTGGGATCTCCATCGTCCGATCGGCATCGTACGGCGTGCGTGCCTCCTGGGGCGTTTGCACTCGTGCTTCCCCATCCCTTGCTTCTCGTCTCCCAGAGCTCTCACTCACCCCGCCTCCCTCCTCCTCTCCTTCATTCTCGCTATCTGGCGTGGGCTCCTCTCTATAAGAGGGGTCCCCTCTTTCGTCATCTTCATTAGCTGCTTCTAAATTAGTTAAAGCCACCCGAGCCGCCTCCTGATATCCGTTCTCCGGTCCTCCGCCAACTCCGCTTCCTGCTACGTGGACCGTCCCGCGACTTCCTCGCATCAGAGATGGTGATTGCTGGAGCGCCTGAGCCGTCGCCAGAGCGCGCTGCCGCCTGGTCGGCAGTCGTCGCCAGGCCTCAGTCGGCACCCGAAAAGGGGACCACGGCGTCGAAGCCTCCTGTACCGCCGGCTCTGAAACCCTCGACAGCAGACGCTGAAAAGACTCCTCCCCTCGAACCCGCGGATCCCCTTGGCATGCGTGACCCTGGCCCGTCTGCCCCAGTTGTCGCTCCGCCCGCTCCGCTTGCTGCTCCCGCCCTCCTTGCTCCTGTTGGTGCGCCGACGGCACCTGCTCCTGCTGGGGGCGCTGCTGACCTCCCTGTTCCTGCCCCTGGCGCGCTCGCTGTGCCGGCTGCTTCTGTCCCCGACGTGCCTGCGCCGGCGTCTGCTTCTTCCCCGAAGGCGGCGTCCGCCACCACTGTCGGGCCGGCTCCGATGGTAACGCCTCCCGGCGCGGACCCGACGGCTCCTGTTCTGCCGCCGACGGTCCCTGCTGGTCAGCCGTCCCGTCCCCAGTCACCTGACCGCCGTCACTCACGGCCACATTCTCCAGCGCCCCAGCAGGAGCGCGAGACGTCGCGGCGCCAGCGCAACTCCCCCCCGGCGTTACCCGCAGCAAGCCCAGTGGCCTGCTCACCCGGGTGGCAATGGGGGATGGCGGGGCCCCCAGGGGCGCGGTGGGCGGTATCGTCCGCCTGTGACGATGGCGGATCTGCAGCGAGAGGTGTCACGGGCCGTGCGCGAGGAGCGGGCGGCGCAGAGCCAGAGCAGTTCGCTGCGGGCTGCGCCGGCGCCCGTGGCTCCTCATCAGGTTGCACCTCCTGTTGGTCCTCCGCCCGCTGCTGCGTTTCCTCCTCCCGTACTTGCACAATCGGCTCCTGCCCCATCCGTCGCTGCGACTGCTCCCGGCGCTCGTCTGCATCTGCCACCGGTCCCGCCTGTTGCGGGCGTGGAATTCGTTGCTGCGGGGGGAGGCTCTGCGGCTCAGCACCCCCACCTCGTTGCTGCTGAAGAGCCGCTTCTGTTCCTGGCGGAGGCGCTCCAGCCTCCGCAGACGCGCGTTCCCGAGGTGACTCTCGGCCAGCTATATCGCCTCGCGGAGAGTCTTCACGCGCTGCTGCTGATCCAGGTCCTTGCTCATTCGTCCCTCCCCGTGATCCCTCCTGAGACGTTCCGCGACCGTCCGCGCGAGACCTGCTTGGATGCGGCGGACCAGCTCGCCGTGCTGCTGGCGCCCGTGTTGGCTGCGCCCGCGGAGGGTGGCGCTGCTGCTGCGGGACAGCTGGACGAGGCTGTCCGGAGCTTGAAGCGGCATTTGCGCGCAGGATCTGGAGCCGCGGCGATCGGCGCAAGCACGCTTGTGGTCCGGGAGCTGTGGCGCTCCCTGACGGGCGTTCTTCACGCCCTTGGAGCTCACCGCATGTAGTTGCGGGCTCCTTGTGCACCATGTTCGTTGAGCTTGACTAGGCTTCAGTAGGTGATGCCATGCTTGTAATGCCTTTTGTTATGAACCGCTATGTGTGCCGTATCTTGCCGTTCCCTCACGCGCGGCCGAAGGCCGCGTCGTCGGGCGTCGGCCGCCGAAGGCGGCCGGCGCGAGCGAAAAATTTCTGGCCGCCACCTAACAATGACTAGCACGGCCTTAGGGAGGCCTTAAGTAGGACCGGGAGGCAAGGGCAGAGGCTAAGGGCAGAGGGCAGAGGCTATTCCTCTCTCTCTCTCTCTCTCTCGCTCTCTCGAGCGAGCGAAAAATTTCTGGCCGCCACCTAACAATGACTAGCACGGCCTTAGGGAGGCCTTAAGTTAAGTAGGACCGGGAGGCAAGGGCAGAGGCTAAGGGCAGAGGGCAGAGGCTCTCTCTCTCTCTCTCTCTCTCTCTCTCTCTCTCTCTCTCTCTCTCTCTCTCTCTCTCTCTCTCTCTCTCTCTCTCTCTCTCTCGCTCTTTCGAGCGAGCGAAAAAATTCTGGCCGCCGCGTCGCTGCCACTGGGACCGCCGTGATCCAGTCGCCAGTGCCGTAGCCAGTCAAGGAATACATCCGCTGTGTGTGCCCCGCGAGCGGATTCAGCCGCATGCGTCTCGTCGCTTGCACCTGCACGGCGTATCTACTGCCGTGCACCTTCAGTCCGAGAACGTGTTGAAGCCGTAGGTCGGATCGTTCTAGCCGCTCCTTCTCTAGAATCTCCCCAAAGACGGAGGTAGCGACGCCTGCTCCCAAACCCGTGTCTGCTCGGCTTGGCAGGTAGGCAAGCGGAGGTCGCAGGCAGTAAGAAGTGTGGTGAGGAGGTCCATACCCCACTGGCTCCATTTGTCGCGGGGAAGGAGGTTTAGCGGCGTCGTCCGTGTCAAGTACGCGACGCGCCTTGAGATACAGCGCGTGATTAGCAGTGCTGCTACCTGGGGATCCGTTCGTTCGATGAGCGTCAGTGGCTTCGCCATTTCGGCCAGCTGCCCTGCTAGGAAAGTTGCCGCCCCGTCGTCAGGGCCCATGAAACTGCCCAGCAGCTGCACGCCGTCCTTTGAGAACGGCACTCCTGGTGGTAGGTGGGCAGCTGTCACTGTACGCGAGCTCCACGCCGCACACTTCTGGGGGTTGTGTTCGAGCCCCAGGGGTGACAGTTTGCTGGTGAAGTGGGAAAAAGCCGCTACAGTATCCTCTGCTTCCCCAATAAATGTCACGTCGTCCGCATACGCCAAACATAGCACGCCAGGGTGTTTGTCTGCAGTGTCGCGGAGTGTTGCGTGGATGTCAAGACTAGAGAGGAAAGTATGTCGATTAGGTTAGGGGAGGGGGGTACAAGAGTATCGAGAGAATTGTTGTACCCTCTAAGAATCACCCCTACACAACCTAGAACTAAATAATATGAAACATATAATTTGACACACCCCCATAGGTGAAGTAGGGGGGATAGCCAAACCTAACAGTGGTCACAAGACCAGTCAAGCAGAAAAGCAAACAAGACAAAGCTCAGGGTGGATCTCAAGGACACCACACAGTCTGAGCACAAGCAGGTGGCCACAAGGCCAGTTCACATGCAGGTTTATAACAAAGCAAGAGATACAGTGATCACAACCTAGCAAGAGTAAACATGCAGGTATATATATATATATAGTGATCACAGTACAAGCAGGGTCAAGAAGTAAGCAAGTGAGGTCCAGTAGGCACAAGGCCTAACAGAGTGCAGAAGCGCTGATGGTCACAAGGCTGAAGCGCCTTGGTGAACACATCAGCAGTGTTGGCCTCAGTGGCCACGTAACGCAGACAAAGCTGACCGCGCTGCTGCAGCTCTCGAGCAAGGAAGTACCGCAGGGCGATGTGCTTCGTTCTGTGCTCCAGTCTGTGCTCCTCACACAAGGCAATGGCAGCCTTGTTGTCGACGTACAGCACTGGAGGAGAACGAGGCCGCTCTCCCAGGTCGGTCAGCAGGTAGGTCAGCCAGCGTAGCTCCTGGGCAGCCATGGCTGTGGCGTAGATCTCAGCCTCACAACTGGAGCTGAGAACAGAAGAAGAGCGTGTGGAACGCCAAGAAACTGAGCCAGAGCCAAGGCTGAAGGTGTAACCCTGAGACGACCGCTGAGTAGCCTGGTTGTCCGCCCAAGAAGCGTCTGAGTGTCCTGTGAGTACAACTCGGTCCCGCCCTCCAAGCACTAGCCCCATGCCCGACGTACTGCACAAGTAGCGCAACACCCTCTTAGCGGCATCCATGTGCTCCTTCCTGTGACGGCCAGGAGCGACATAGCGTGCAAGGATGCTAAGAGGGTATGCCAGGTCAGGTCGAGTGCAGGTCATCAGGTACATGAGGCAGCCCACAAGCTCTGGATACGGGCCACTCGGCTCTACGGACTCATCCGAAGGCAGAGCTGAGAGCGAGTGACCGGTACGCAGAGGAGTGGACTGAGGCGAGGAGTACGTGAAGCGGAAGCGCTGGAGGATCTGCTGCACCATGTGTGACTGAGTCAAGGTGATGGTGCGCCGTGCTCTGTCCCGGGTGATCCGCAAGCCAAGATAGCTCGTCAGTTCACCCAGGTCTGTGCACGTGTGTCTCCTCTGCAGCTCCGACTTCACGTGGGCGAGTGCCGCGGTGTCAGCAGTGGCAAAGACCAAGTCGTCAACGTACACGAGGATGTAGAACGGCGGCAGCGAGGTGTCTGTGCGTAGAAACAGTGACGGGTCAGCAGTAGAGGGAGCGAACCCAAGAGCCGCAAGTGTCGTCCTCAGTGTGTCGTGCCACTCACGCGGTGCCTGGCGGAGACCGTAGACCGGCCGCTGGAGCCTCCACTGGGTACCAGGAGGAACCGACCCAGTGAAGCCAGGAGGGCGGCGCAGCCATATCTCCTCGTGCAGGCTGCCCTGCAAGAAAGCAGTGCTGAAGTCAAGTGAGTGAAGCTCGTAGTCGCGCTGAGCGACTATGTGCAGCAGCACCCGAAGAGTGGTCATCTTCGGGGTGGGGGAGAAGGTCTGGAAGAAGTCGACTCCCTCTCGCTGACTGAAGCCTCGAGCCACGTAGCGCGCCTTGAAGACAGGAGGAGAACCCGGTGGCCGCTTCACCCTGAAAATCCACATGCCACTGACGATGTTCGCCCCAGGTGGGGGAACCTCGTTGACGTAGGTGCCTGTGGACTTCCAGGATGCCATATCTGCGTCCATGGCTGTCTGCCACTGAGAGTAGGGACCCGCCATCGCCTCAGCGTAAGTGCGCGGGGTCGGGATGTCTGGTGCATCCGGGTCTCCCTCAGGGGCAACTAGCATGGACACGAGATGGGGCAAAGAAGCAGCAAAGCACTTGAACTCCTCCTGCCTGTCTTCAAGGACGTCCGTGCCAAGAGCACACACACCCCCGACGGACGAAGGACAGACCGACTCGGACTCAGACTCAGCAACAAGGCTAGCGGCGTAGTCTAGACGACACCGGGCAGCAAAGTCTATCAACTCAGCGACCAGAGCAGACGCAGCAGAGGACTCAAAGGTAGGGTCAGTGACAACAGTGGCGAGAAGACGGGTGACAGTGGGACTGGCAGCACGACGGGCGTCAGACTCCGGGTCAGGAAGAGTAGGCAGAGAGGACGCAGGAGGAGATGGCAGCGGGACACGCTGAGGAGCAGTGGAGCGACGCAGTGTCATGTAGTGAGTGCCAGGGACAGGAGGAGGACGCTCACGTGGGACACGACGACCAGTGCGAGCAGTACGAACAGGCGACGCAGGGCGAGACGCAGGCTCACGACGCTCTGCAAGACCTCCTGTGGGACCAGTGTAAGGAGAGGGACCAGGGAGAGGCGAGGCAGGCGGTAACTGTGACTGCGACTGGACAGGTGGAGGACACTCTACGGAGGGAGGAGGACAAGGAGGAGGAGCCTGACCAAGAACCTGCTGAAGAAGTGGTACGAAGTACGGTCGCGGCCGCGCAGCGTCTCCAGAACCAGCAGAGACACCAGCGGCAGGGTCCTCAGCACCAGCAGCAGCTCCAACGTCCGGGTCCTCAGCACCAGCAGCAGCTCCACCGCTCGGGTCCTCAGCACCAGCAGCAGCTCCACCGTCCGGGTCCTCAGCTCCAGCAGCAGCTCCAACGCCCGGGTCCTCAGCACCAGCAGCAGCGCCACCGCTCGGGTCCGCAGCACCAGCAGCAGCTCCAACGCCCGGGTCCTCAGCACCAGCAGCAGCTCCACCGCTCGGGTCCTCAGCACCAGCAGCAGCTCCAACGCCCGGGTCCTCAGCACCAGTAGCAGCGCCACCCCCAGGGTCCGCAGCACCAGGAGCACCACTCCGAAGACTGCAGCGCCGCGTGTACCACTCTCGGATCTGCTGAATGGGGGGGAGCTCCTGGGCAGGAGGGGAAGTACTGGTACGAGCTCCAGTAGCACCTCTCCGGAGGCGGCAGTACTGTAGGTACCTCTCCTGCAGCTGCCGGGAGGAGAGGGCTCCTCCAGGTGTAGCACGCTCAGGCTCAGCACCCCCAGACTCAGCACCCCCAGACTCAGCACCCCCAGGCTCAGCACCTCCAGGCTCCGCACCTCCAGGCTCCGCACCTCCAGGCTCAGCACCCCCAGGCTCCGCACCTCCAGACTCAGCACCTCCAGGCTCAGCACCCCCAGACGCAGCACCCCCAGGCTCAGCACCCCCAGACTCAGCACCCCTAGCAGGACGAGAGTCGACAGCTACCTCGACAGGCTCACCCGGGTCTACCTGGGACACACCTGAGGGAGCGGCACCCTGAGGGGGGAGGGGGTCTGGTACCTCAGCACCTGGAGCGAGGAAGAGAGGCGAGGGGGGGAGCGGGGCAGTGCGGTAGGGGAAGAGGCGGTAGTAGGGGACGGACTCGTCAAAAGTGACGTCCTGAGAGGCCAGGACACGACGCGAGGTGGCGTGGTAGAACTGCCAACCAGGGGCGTCCGGGACAAAGCCAAGGAAGACACAGGGGACAGCGCGACGGGAGAGCTTGTCCGCGGACGTGTCGCGAACAAAAGCTCGGGATCCCCAGACCCGAAAACGCGACGCATCGCCAGCCTCTCCCGTCCAACGCAGGGTCGGAGAAGTCTCCGGGAGGGAGACTCGGGGCCAGAGGTTGAGCTGATGCGCAGTGTATCGGACTGCAAACGGCCACAGAAAATGGGGGGCAGCCGCATGAACCAAGGAGGTACGAGCGACCTCCATGACCAAGCCAATGCGGCGCTCAGCAACCCCATTCTGCTATGGAGAGGCCGGAAGCGTGAACGACTGCTCAATGCCCTCCTGCTGACAGAAGGCCTCCAAGAGGCCGGAGGAAAACTCCCCACCTCTGTCAGAGTGCAGACGCAGGACAGGAAAGTCGGAGTGGAAACGCTTGCTGAGCTGGAGATGAGATCTGCGGATCCAAGGGATCAAGACATCAGGGACGTCACCCTTGGCGCGCAAGGGGAAGACCGTGGTGTAGCGCGAGAAGTCGTCAACAACAATCAGGAAGTACCTCTCCTGACCCTGTCCACGGACGCGGGCTGGGCCCCACACGTCCATGTGGAGTGTCTGCAAAGGAGCAGTCGTCGGGGGAAAGGAGGAGGAGTGAGGAGCGGCGCGCTGCCGCCCCTCGACACAGGGAAGACAGGGAGGAGCAGGCGAGGGTGGGAGGGGAGGGAGAACCCTGGGAAGACCAGCAACAAGGTCCCGTTTGTGCATGGCCCGAAGGCGCTGCACAGACGGGTGACCAAGGCGGTGGTGCCAGAGGACAGTCTCATGCGCCAGAGAGCGACACGAGCAGGGGGCGGACAGCTGACCTGACGCAGACGCAGACGCAGCTACCTGAGGGGACTCAGTGGTCAGTGTGTACAGGTCCGACCCCGGCTCCCGAGTGAAGGTAGCCAGGTGACGGCCCGTCCGAGCACACGTGCAGTGTGTCACGCGCTCGTAGGCAGGGGTGAACTGGTGAACACCCCCGTCCTGGAGCGCACGACCCGCCACCAAGTTCGTAGAGAACGAGGGGAGGTAGAGACCAGACAGTGTGCCAGACGGGACCGCAGGACAGGGAAGAACAGTGGAGGAGGTCGCAATGACCGGACCCCCAGAGGGGTCAGCGAGGGAGACAGCAACTGGCCGAGCGAGTGGCTCAAGGGCAGTGCGGTCTCGAAAGAAACAGCGAGAAGCACCTGAGTCCAGTGTGAAGGTGTGCAGTGCCTCAGTCGACTCAGTACCAGGGGAGACAGACTCACCAGCACCTAGAGCGGCAGCCTCACCATCACCTGGGGTAGCAGACACGCGAGCACCTGGAGCTGCAGACGCACTAGCACCTAGAGCAGCAGCCTCACTGGTCAGAATGCCCGGGTCGGGCGGAACACGCAAGTACTGAGCACCCTCTCCACTAGTAAACATAGCATACATGGCAGTGAGAATAGCATCAAAGTCTAGAGCCCAGATATCAACTCCCTTCTTCTCCAGATCAAACCAGCGGGGCAGCTCATTGCCGTCAGGGAACTGAGTGCGCCAAGCGTCGTCAAGGCGCGCGAAACAGCGCGGCGTGGGGTGCGGCTTCCCACACGTCTGACCAGCGCGGTCACCAGTGCGGATGACGTACGTGCAGCTAAGGCCACCCGCCCCCCCACGCTGCGCATACCACTCACGGGCCTCCTGGAGCGACGGAGTGTGCTGCTGGCTCGGACCACCGCCAGCGCCTCCACGACCACCACCGCCGCTGCCACCTCCTCGACCACCCCCTCCCCTGCCGCTGCCACGACCACCGCCGCCCCCGCTGCCGCCCCCGCCCCTGCCACCGCCTCCGCCGCTGCCGTCACTACCCCCACTGCCGCCACTAGTCTCTCCAGCCCCTCCTCCACTCCCACCGCCTCCACCCCCGCCTCCCCGGCCTCCTCCTCCACCCTTGCCTCCTTTGGTCCTGCGGCGCCCGCTCGAAGCAGACGCGGTCCCGACCTTCTCAGCACCAAGGAGGTCGACAGCAGAAGCAGAGGCGACAGAGGGGAGAAGGGGGGAAGGGGAACACCCCTCAAAGAAGGGGGTGCGGGGCTCGCCACGAGAGGCACCTACGGCGACGATGCTCGCCTCAGCTGCAAGTAGGTCCTTCTCGAGGAGGGCAATGGTGAGCTCAGTAGGGGAGCGAGCTAGAAAGGAATCCCTGACTGTGCGCAGAGAGTCAGGGAGGCGGGTGACAATGTGGTAGAGAGTGAGCCAGAGCGGGGGGGGGTTGCTAGCAAGGAACTCGGCAGGCATAGCAGCGCGAAAGCGGGCCTCACTAGTCTTGAGGTGGGTGATGAGGTCAGCAACAGTGTGAAAGGAGGCCAGGTCGGGGAACAGGTAGGGCAGTGAGAGGCGGCCTAGTGCGGCAGACGCAGGTGAGGAGTAACGAGCAACTACGGCTGTGTACAGTTCCTTAGCAGTCTTGCACTGGCCGAAGTGCTCGCGCTCATCTAGCGGTAGGGAGTTGCGAGCGTGCGCGTCACGGGTCTGCCACTGGGAGCGCAGAGTGCTGTCAGCAGTAGTGTCAGGGGCAGTAGCATGGCCTAGGGCGTGATCGTACAGTGAAATGTCCTCCTTGGCAGTGAGCTGTAGGAAGAGGTGCAGGTCATCGAGCCAGGTGTCAAACTTCACTGGGCGGCCCTCAGCATCGAAGGCTAGCACAGGAGGGCTAGCCATAGTAGCAGTAGGAGGAACAGTAGTAGTGTCAGTAGCAGTGACAGCAGCAGCAGTAGCGCGGTAGGGCAGGGCACTGCAGCTCTAGCAGGGCAGGGCCGAGGTAGTCGTGACGGCGGTGGCAGCTGCTGAAGGCTCGGGAACGGCCGCTGCTGCAGGGACGGCGGCGGCTGCTGTGGTATTCTCGAACGGCGGCTGCTGCTGCAGGCTCGGCGGCGGCAGCTGCTGCAGGTCCGGCGGCGGCTGCTGCTGCTGGCTCGGCGACGGCAGCTGCTGCAGGGTCGGCGGCGGCCGCTGCTGTAGGTCCGGCGGCGGCTGCTGCTGTTGGTTCGGCGGCGGCAGCTGCTGCAGGGTCGGCGGCAGCTGCTGCTGCAGGGTCGGCGGCGGCCGCTGCTGTAGGTCTGGCGGCGGCTGCGACTGCAGGCTCTGCCGCGGCTGCTGCTGTAGGCTGGGCCGCGGCAGCTGCTGCAGGTCTGGCGGCGGCTGCTACTGCAGGTCCGACCGCGGCTGCTGCTGCTGGCTCGGCGGTGGCTGCTGAAGGTCAGCGGCGGTAGCTGCTGCAGGCCCAGCGGAGACAGCTGCTGCAGACGAGAGGGAAGGGGACCGCGACGGGTCCTGGAGGGGCCGCGAAGGGCGGCGAGGGGCGGCGACGAAGCCGCGAAGAGGCGGCAACAGAGCCGCGAAGGGGAGGGCGGCGACGGAGTCGCGTATGGGCGGCGACGAGGCCGCGTAGGGGCGACGACGAAGCCGCGTAGGGGCGGCGACGAGGTCGCGAAAGGGCGGCGACAGAGCCGCGCGGGGGGGGAGGGCGACGAGGCCGCGAAAAGGGGGGCCGCTAAGGGGCCTTAAGCGGGGGTCGCGAGGGGCCAACAAGGGGCCGCGAGAGGACCTTAAGAGAGGGGCCGCGACGGGCCGTTAGGGACAGGCGCACGGGGCGCGACTAGGGTAGGCGCGAAGCGCGCTCCGGCCAGGAAAAAAAAAAAAATCGTTTTCCGTGGTGGGCCCTAGGAAACTTCCTGCTCTATACCATGTCAAGACTAGAGAGGAAAGTATGTCGATTAGGTTAGGGGAGGGGGGTACAAGAGTATCGAGAGAATTGTTGTACCCTCTAAGAATCACCCCTACACAACCTAGAACTAAATAATATGAAACATATAATTTGACAGTGGATCCCTGCCGCGAACAGTAGCGGGCCGAGTGGGTCCCCTTGGCGGACACCGCGTTCGCTTCGCAGTGGTTCGGAGTTGAAGTTTGCATCCAGGAGCAGCTGCGACGGGTTACCGTAGGTGAACTTGACGAGCGGCAGCAGTGGCGAGAGGGCGTGAGATTGTAACGCGGTGGCAATGGCTTTTCGCGAAATGCTGTTGAATGCGTTCTTGATGTCGGCTTGCAGAACGAGGCTGGTGGGACGGACATCCAGGAAAGCCCTGGCCGCGTGGATTACAGTCTCGGCGCCACCTGGCACTGCCACGCCGTACTGTAGTGGGAGGAAGAAGTCGCGGGCAGCCTCCCCTATTGCTGACAGGGCTGCTTTGGCTGCCAGCCTCGTCAAGCATTCGCCGATGGCGATTGGCCGAGCACCGCCCCCCGGTTTGGCCAAGGCGATGAGGCGTGATGCGGTCAACAAATTTGCCACCGAGTCGGGCAAATTTCCGCCCAAAATGGTATTAACCAGGGCGTGCAAATGGGTGCTGACCAGTGCATTTGTGATTGCCGAGTCGCGCAAGTGTTCAAATGTCATCCCTGACGGCCCCGCCCCAACTCCATTCTCGCATCTGCCCAACAGTTTTGCGAAGTCAGCGTGAGCGATTGAAAGCGTTGACCCCTCCGGCGTCGGCCAGATCACCTCCTCGTCAGCTGCAGGGGGGTGCTTCTGGCGCAGTTCCTCCAGGATTTCGGGGCTAGGTGTGCAGACGGGCGTTGTCTCCAAGGAAGGACGGCTCGTCGCAGACTGCCACGTTTCGCCAGGCCCTCGGTTGATCACCCCCGTCGCGTCGGGCCTGTGCCGAGGCGGAGGTGGCGTGTTGACTGCAGCCACCGTGTCCAGGTACAGTTGCTCCCATTCGCCACGTTGGAACGCACGGAGCCGGGCCTTGATTTTCGGCCAGTCCGGACGTTGCGGCGAGGTCTGGCGAAGAGTTAGGCGCGGGAGAAACAGAAGCAGGCGCCAACCTGTCTCCGACTCGGGGTTTCGAGAGAGGTGCAGTAACGGTGTCAGTAACACCAACGAAAACAACTGACACAGATTTGGCGGTAAGCGTCGCGACAGCGAAGGCTGACGACTATCGCACAGAGCCGCGATGTCCCAACTCCCGATCGCAGCGAACAAGTCTCTTCGCTTCACCAGCTCCTCTGGCGAAAAATAGCGGGGGGTCGCAGCGGCTGGGCGTGTCGCAACACCCCTACTCGCGGTCCGATTTCGCCGTGCGCGGCTCGCTCCCGCAGGTGAGGCAGATGTTGGAAACTCCACCGTCCGATCGGCATCGTGCGGCGTGCGTGCCTCCTGGGGTATTCACACTCGAGCTACCCCGGCCTCTGCTTCTGCTCGCCCAGAGCTCTCCCTCACCCCACCTTCTTCCTCTCCATCTTCATCCTCGCTCTCTGGCAAGGCTTCTTCCCTATAAGAGGGGTCCCGTCGCTCGTCATCTTCATTAGCTACTTCCAAGTTATTTAAAGCCACCCGTGCCTCCGCTTGGTATCCGTTCTCCGGGCCTCCGCCAACTCCGCTTCCTGCTACGTCGTCCGTCCCGCGACTTCCTCGCCTCTGGGATGGTGATTGCTGGAGCGCCTGCGCCGTCGCCAGAGCGCGCTGCCGCCTGGTCGGCAGTCGTCGCCAGGCCGCAGTCGGAACCCGAAAAGGCGACCACGGCGCCGAAACCTCTTGTACCGCCGACTCTGAAACCCGCGTCAACAGACGCTGAAAAGATTCTTCCCCCCGTACCCGCTGCTCCTCCCCTCGTGCCCGCGGCTCCCCTTGGCCCGGCTGCCCCTGGTGCTGCCCCGCCTGCTCCTGCTGCTGCTCCTGTCCCCCCCGTTCTTCCTGCTGGACCCTCGGCGGCCGGCCTTGGGGGTGGGGTTGCTGATCCCCCGGCGCCGGTCCTTGGCGCTCCTGTTGCACCGGACGCTTCTGTCCCCGACGTGCCTGCGCCGGCGTCTGCTTCTTCCCTGAGGGCGGCATCCGCCACCACGGTCGCGCCGGCTCCGATTGTTGCGCCTCCTGGCGCGAACACGACGGCTCCCGCTCAGCCGACGGCGGCTCGTCCCTCGTCGCCTGACCGCCGGCTCTCCCGTCCCCGTCTCCAGCGCCCCAACAGGAGCGCGAGACGTCGCGGCGACGGCGGAACTCCCCCGGCGCTACCAGCAGCAGGCCCAGTGGCCCGCTCACCCGGGTGGCAATGGGGGCTGGTGGGGTCCCCACGGGCGTGGCGGCGGCGGGAGGTATCGTCCGCCTGTGACGATGGCGGATCTTCAGCGGGAGGTGACGCGGGAGGTGTCGCGCGCCGTGCGCGAGGAGAGGGCGGCGCAGAGCCAGAGCAGTTCGCTGCGGGCTGCGTCGGCGCATGTGGCTCCTCGTCCGATTGTGCCTCCTGTTGTCCCTCCGCCGGCTGCTGCACCTCCCCCTCTTGTTCCTGCCCCGTCCGCTCCTTCTCCTTCTGTAGCGGCGCCGGCTCCCGGCTCCCGCCTGCATCTGCCGCCGGTTCCGCCTGTTGCGGGGGTGGAGTTTGTGGCCGCGGGTGGTGGCGCGGCGGCGGCTCAGTATGCAGCTGATGAGCCGCTCCAGTTCCTGGCGGAGGCACTCCAGCCTCCGCAGACTCGTGTTCCCCAGGCGACTCTCGGCCAGCTCCACCGCCTGGCGGAGAGTCTTCACGCACTGCTGCTAATCCAGGTTCTTGCTCACACGTCCCTCCCCGTGGTTCCTCCTGAGACGTTCCGCGACCGTCCGCGCGAGACCTGCTTGGATGCGGCGGACCAGCTCGCCGTGCTGCTGGCGCCCGTGCTGGCTGCGCCCGCGGAGGGTGGCGCTGCTGCTGCGGGACAGCTGGACGAGGCTGTCCGGAGCTTGAAGCGGCATTTGCGCGCTGGATCTGGAGCCGCGGCGATCGGCGCAAGCACGCTTGTGGTCCGGGAGCTGTGGCGCTCCCTGACGGGCGTTCTTCACGCCCTCGGAGCACACCGCATGTAGTTGCGGGCTCCCCTCTATCTGTTTCCGCCATTCTAGGCCGCTATGTGTGATGCCATGTGTGTATGTCAACTCAGTAGTGAAGTTCTTTGCGCTGTGTGCGCTTGCTGTCCCCTCACGCGCGGCCGAAGGCCGCGCCGTCGAGCGTCGGCCGCCGAAGGCGGCCGGCGCGAGCGAAATTTTCCGGCCCACAAATGAATAATCAGCAGAGGAGGCACGAACAGCTACTTAAGTACCTAAGAGGACGAGGGCAGAGGCTAAGGGCAGAGGGCAGAGGCTAAGCCTCTCTCTCTCTCTCTCTCTCTCTCTCTCTCTCTCTCTCTCTCTCTCTCTCTCTCTCTCTCTCTCTCTCTCTCTCTCTCTCTCTCTCTAACGGACCTTTGTATTGATAATAGGGGCTGGTACAGACATGCAAAGCTTAAGGAAGGTAGCAACGAACAATAAGACAAGCAAGCAAAACCTAAATGTAACCTACCCAAGCAACCACACACCCCTGCCTCTCTCCCCCCCCCCTTCCTTTATGCGGCCTCTAGTGTTGAGAAGCAATCCCCTGGGTTCAGCGCCCCCTCTGGTCCCCCTAGTGGGGGGTTCTCTGCATGGGCAGCCAGGTGCAGCTTTGTAAGAAAGCTTACTGCCTGGGCTCTCTGGAGGGCAACGGACCAGCGCTGGCGGAACTGGTGGAGCATCTTCGCGGCCTGGTAGGTAGATGGGTCCGCATTGAAGAGTCTCCTTGCAGCCTTGTCTGCCAGTAGCTTTAGGAAGGTTGGCACCTCGTCGCAGGGGCAGCCGTAGGTTTCTACAGCCAATGGGACAAACCCTGCAAACTCTGCCCTGCCGTGGTAGAGGTCTATCTTTTTGTCTGCCGCCTCCCGTGCTGCCCAGCCCCTCCCCTTCCGTGCATTCTCGTCCCGCTTGCTAATTGGGTCCGTGATGGTGATATCTGCCAGCCACACCGCCCCGAGCTCCCAAAAAGCTAAAGGTGGGGTCAGCGCCTCTATAGATCTCTAGCTCTCTCTCTCTCTCTCTCTCTCTCTCTCTCTCTCTCTCTCTCTCTCTCTCTCTCTCTCTCTCTCTCTCTCTCTCTCTCTCACACACACACACACACACAAGCAAGTCTCTCTCTCTCTCTCTCTCTCTCTCTCTCTCTCTCTCTCTCTCTCTCTCTCTCTCTCTCTCTCACACACACACACACACACACAAACTATTGCAAGTGATAACAACAGAGAAAATCGTGAAGCCTAGCATAAATATTGCAATGTTAGCTAGGGCGAAGTCGCGGAGTCGCGAGATGGTTGGGTGCAAGCTCAGAGTTGGAAAACCGAAAGGCGACGCGGTGGTGGTTCGAAAGGCAATGTCATTGGACCGAGCCTGTTCTCCGAAAACCGGAGCTGTACGCATACAGAGTGACTCAGTAAGGAACGACGGAAAATTCTTTAAACTACCCCCCCCCCCCCCCCCCCCCCCCCCCCCCCCCAAGGTGGTGAGTATCCGGAACACCCCGGCGAGTCAAATAATCATGTAGTACCGTGTGTCCCTGCAGCGAGTCAGCGGCCACATACGTGTCTTCTTCACTCATACGATCCTTCCAGCGAAGCAGGAAGACAACTTTTCGGCCGGTAGTCGTCACCTCAAATTTCTTCGCCAGGGGGAACACTGTGGTGTAGCGAGAGTAGTCGTCAACGACCACCAGAAAGAAACTCTCTCGCTCAGGGCCAGGGCGAGGGGCGGGGCCCCAGACGTCCAAGTGGAGAGTCTCAAAGGGCTCGGTGGCCTGATGAAGGGAGGAGGAGTGAGGGGTGGCTCGCAGCCGACCCTCAACGCAGAGACTGCAGGGTGGGGCACGCGAAGGC